GATTTGTACTTTGATACTCCCCTTGCAATGACAATTTTTATAAAATACCTACATCTCTTAATATAGCCTTAAGAGATGGAAAGTCAAACTTCTAGGTTTTAATTCTCAATTTGCCACTTCGTTGTTGACTGAGCCACTTCAGTTGCTCAGTCATATCCAACTCTTTGTGACCCCATGGACTGCAGCACACCAAGCTTCCCTGTCCTTCACCATGTCCCAGAGTTTGTGCAAACTCATGTCCTTTGAGTCGGTGATGCCATCCGACCATCTCATCCTCTATTGTCTTCTTTTCCTCCTGCCTTCAGTCTTTCCCAGCATCAGAGTCTTTTCCAATGAGTTGGCTCTTCGCATCAGGTGGCCAAAGTATTAGAACTTCTTGTCCCATAAACAGTTATTTAACTTGGGATTCTAATTTTTATTTGAGAATGGATAGTGGGTCCACATTTTGATTGTTATACAGCTCAAATGGAATAATATGTAAGTACAGGAATTGCAAATGAAATGCCGATATATGATTTTTAGCAGTGTTTGACTCATTGTAAATGCTAAAAAGTCACAGCCATTATAGATGTTAATCATTGACCAAAGAAGCAATAGCCTGGCTCAGAAATTGTTTAACAGTCAACCCTCTAAAATATCAAATGCAATAAACAATAAATTCTAGCTCCAGGGATGAAGGATTCCTCAACTTATGCATTTAGATTTTCTAAGAGTGAGATTTATTTTTCTCTGGGAGAACCTTTAGCCCTAGAATTCATCACTGATACAGCAATTCACTTTTGACAGGGAAAGATCCCACTCTGGCCTCACAATTTACTTTAGTATATTTTCAGCTGGCAAATGGTTTAATTTTTTTTTTTTTTCAGAAGGAAAGAGACTTACCTTTACTTTTCCTATCTATCACTGAACTAGAAAAGGAAGGTAACAACTCTTGGAGACCTATTCAGAGATGAGTATCAATTATGGAAAAATCCATTCAAAAATTCTGTGCCTGTGGCAGTACTCTCAATAAAGTATGTCTGTGTTTACACATGTGAATGCAGGCTTACCAAGGATAGCAGATACTGACTAGATCAAAGAAATTATATTGAAAACAAGAAAAACCAGCAGAAACTAACATATGGGAGCATATTCATCTGTTGTCTGACAGGTTGGAAAGTGGGTATTGATAAAGATCTGCCCAGGTGGATGACAACAGGAAAGCAAAGGAGCCTTTTGCCCACTGGAAGGTAAAACCAGGTATCTGGTCTAATACTAACATACAGGCATACCTTGGAGATACTGTGGGTTCAGTTTCAGACCACCTCAATAAAGCAAAAATTGTGGTAAAGCAAGTCATTTGAGTTTTTATTTTTTGGTTTCTCAGTTCATACAGAAGTCATGTTTATACTGTACTATAGTCTATTAAGTGTACAACAGCATTATTTCTAAAAAAAAAAAAAAGTACATAACCTTAATTTTAAAATACTCTATTGCTAAAAAATGCTAACCATCATCTGACAATGCAGGGTTGCCACAAACCTTCAATTTGTAAACAATTAAAAAAAAAAACCCAAACCTCAACATCTATGAAGAACAATTAAGGGAGGTATGCCTGTATGTATGTCATAGAGGAAACCATAACTAAAAAGGACAAGAGATAAAGGGTTGCGGGAAGAAAAGGAAGAGGCTATTAGATTAAACTTCCCAGAATAACAGAATTTTCCTTCGTGGATACAAAATGGTAACATCTCAGTGGTTTTGATTTCTGAAGGAAAATGTGTAATCCCTTGGAATTAAAAAAATCTAGATCAATATTCTGCATCAGCTACTATTTGATTCTTTGATCCTAAAATAATTCCTTCATGTTCACTTATTCAGTGGATAATACAAAAGTGAAGAGAGAAAGCTGACATGAGGACGACCTGCACAGTGATTTGCTTGATACTGTTTTAAAGTTTTATTTCTTCTCAATTGCATTATGAATATAAAAAATGCTGTAGTTTAGAGAGGAGGGGAGTTTGTAAGTCAGGTTTCTCTTCCTGTGACTCAGTTTTCATATAAAAGGAGCTGGAAATACAGGAGACCTGGGTTCAATCTCTGGGTGGGGAAGATCCCCTGGAGAAAGGAATGGCTATCCACTGCAGTATTCTTGCCTGGAGAATTCCATGGACAGAGGAGCCTGGTGGCCTGTGGGGTCACAAAGAGTCAGATATGACTGTGCAACTAACATTTTAACTTTTTGTGGGGCTCCTGTAAAGATTTTCGTGGATTCTTTGCTCCTAAACCCCAAAATTCTTTTCCTCTCAATGGACTTGAAATCATTCAAAGATGTGAAGTTAATTAAGATGATGTCTCTTCAACAGTATCCACCCCTAAAACATTTATAGTTTGTCAACACTGTGCTAGAAGTTGGAGACCCTGCAGGAACTCATGATACCTATATAGGAGGTACTGGACAAATGATGTGAAAGCACAGGATTCCAGAGACCACATTTGGCTAAGTTTAAGCCTTCGCCTGGGCTTCCCTGGTGGCTCACAGGTTAAAGCATCTGCCTGCAATGCGGGAGACCTGGGTTCGAACCCTGGATCGGGAAGATCCCCTAGAGAAGGAAATGGCAACCCACTCCAGTATTCTTGCCTGGAGAATCCCATGGACGGAGGAGCCTGGTGGGCTACAGTCCACGGGGTCGCAAAGAGGTCGGACACAACTGAGCGACTTAACTAACTTAACTTAAGCCTTCACCTTGGGGACAAGATCTTTGAGATGACTCTGAAACTGCATTTCAGCATGAAGAAACATCTATTGCCCTGAGCAGTACTGGCTTTTCATACTATCTTTAAACTCATTTTTTAGTGACTGTGTTTTCCAGTTTTACCCTGGTGGGCATACTAATGAAGTGGAAAATAAATTCCACTTTTATAAAAGGAAACTGCTTCCTATTATCAAAACTCATTGACACCTCCTGGTTGTCATGTCTACTGTATGGCCTCACGACCTCCATGCTTGCTCCTCCTTTGATAGTAGCTGGCTATATACATCATGTAATTCATTATTCCATTTCTTTACCAAATTATACTTCTGCTTCCTATCTTTTAACCCAATAACTGAATACAGAAAATCATTATAAAAATTACCTAGAGTAATAGAAAACTTGATACATGAGGACATTTATGGCAGTTCAATTCATGATGTAAAAATTAAAAATGTAAATCCATGAAAATATAAAGATAATTACATGTTATGATACAGTCACACAATGGAATATGTAGCCATTATTTACACTTTAAGTTTTATGTAAAAAAACTTTATATGAAACTAAGACACCAATAAAAATATAAAAGATACAGAAAAACATGAAGAACATTAAGAACCATAATTCAGCCTATCAAACTCACTGATAACATTTTTGTATATTTCCAATATCTTCTCCATGAAAATATAAATATATATTTATATATAAATAGAATCTTATCCCATAGAGAGTTCTATGTATATCTTATACTTTTTCTCTTAATACCGTAAGTATATTCTTATCCTTACAACATTTTTAGAAAATAGAAGTTTTAATGACTGCATAATATTACATCATGTAGATGCATCATAATTTGACCTTTCCCCTATTTTGGGGGGGAGGACAGCATAAAAATATTCTTGTAAATATCTTGAACATTTATCTGTTTATGTGTTCTAATGTAGTTCAGAATGCTTGACCCAGACCCACCACTTTTTGGAGAAACCTAACTGAACATCAGTGCTAATCACAATTATATGCCTTATCAGTTCACCCCTGGGTATGTTTGAAAACACCAGAGTTAACATCTGAACAAAGCTAGCCAACCAAAGGCTTATGGTTTGGCCCAGACTAAAAGACTTGTCAGGAGGTAGTAATTATAAGTTAAGCCAATCATCTCCCCACTACTACTCAGAAATCTGGAGACCCAGAAAGAAGTTACAGGTTAGTGGTGCGCAATAAAATTGAAAAAAAAGTATATTCAAGGGTGTGGTGCAATTATAAGCATGCACAGAGTGAGTAAACAGGAAGTCAGTCTGTAGAGGAGTGGATAACCAAAGAGAAACAAAAATAAGTTCTTGAAAGAGTAGCCTCATTGTCTAATGGCTTTCTAGAGCAAGTTCTCATATTTAAGCTTCTGTCCCTGTGGGTTTTTTGTTTTGTTGAGATTCTGAAACATAATGTTATATAACACTTTTTTATATGAAATAAGTAGAGCTTTGCTCTTTGTGAATAGGATTTCCCTAACAATGGGAAACCCTATTTCCATAGACTATATGCCTAGATATAAAATCACTGTAGAATGAGTAATAACAATTTTAAGGCTTATGATTTGCCACATAGCTTTTCCAAAGTCTATCAGTTTACTCTCAAAATAAACAGTATATAAGTATCAATCATTCTGTACTCACTGAAAATAGCTTTTATAATTTTTGTTAATTAAAAAAATGATTTTTCATTGCTTTAAGGGGCTTCCCAGATGGCGCTAATGGTAAAGAATCCACCTGCCAATGCAGGAGACACAAGAGACATGGGTTTGATCTCTGGGTTGGGAAGATCTCTTGGAAAAGGAAATGGCAACCTGCTCTAGCATTCTTGCCTGGAAAATTCCATGGACAGAAGAGGCTGGTGGGCTACAGTCCATGGGGTTGCAAAATGTTGGAGATGACTGAGTGCACACATACACATTGCTTTAATCTGTTGATGTCCTGTGCCATTTTTTAAGCTAGGTATCCATCTCATATTAATTTTATAAAAGCTTATAACTACCTTAATCATGGCAACTATTTTCCCTGTTGTTTTAACTCTTGTATGTTCTTAACCTATAGTTTAAAATTTGTTAATGTAGTTAGATTTCTGAATTCCATTTCATCAAAATTTAAAAAAGTTCATGTGTGTTTTCAACTATATAAAAACACACTTTAAGTAAGTAAGTAAGTAAAGTCACTCAGTCGTGTCCGACTCTTTGCGACCCCATGGACTGTAGCCTACCAGGCTCCTCTGTCCATGGGATTTTTCCAGGCAAGAGTACTGGAATGGGTTGCCATTTTCTTCTCCAGGGAATCTTCCCGACCCAGGGAACGAACCCAGGTCTCCAGCATTGCAGACGCTTTACCGTCTGAGCCACCAGGGAAACCCAAAAAATATGCTTTAGTGAATTATAAATATTTTATGTTTAAAGTGGTAGAACCCCCTCTAAAAAAAAAAAAGAAAGAGAAATCTTGGTCTAATATTGAATACAAATCAGAAGAAGAGGATGGGGTTAACTTGCGATTTTTCTTTGATGAAGCGGACTTCACGAAACCATATACAGATTCATGGAACACAGTTTGAAAACTTGTGCTTTAATCAATACATATTAGATGAATATCTATATGATGTTGGTCATGAGATGAAAGCCTAACTTTATTTTTCTTTACAAGGGCTTTCCTTGTGACTTAGCTGGTAAAGGATCTGCTTGCAACAGGAGACCTGGGTTCAATCCCTGGTTTGGGAAGATCCCCTGGAGAAGGGAAAGACCACCCACTCCAGTATTCTGGCCTGGAGAATTCCATGGACTGTATAGTCCATGGGGTCACAAGAGTCAGACACCACAGAATGACTTTCACTTTCACTTAGTATTACAAACTCTATTTTGCACCCATTGTATTTTTCTGATTATTTTAAGAATTTAGAAAGTTACTGGTTTTTATATTTTTATCCACTTTAATGGGTTTATAATTAGTTCATTTAAATTAACTTTTAAATCATATTGTAGACATGCCTTTATGTTTGCCTAATAAACATTTGCCTGTTCTCTTATATGAATAAGATTAATCAATAAATCAATATTGAGAAGTTGAAAATTGGTCAGTTAACCAGTATCATTTTGCTATAGTCTTTTAATCACATATAAGTAAAATTTTAATTCAATCAAGGGTTTTCAAAACTTCTTAAAGGGAGATTTAAGCTATTTTGATAAATCTGATTTGCTCTCATCTTGATCTGTGTTCTCTAATTTTTTAAATCATCTTCATATTGTTTCTGTTTTCTGCCTTTTATGCTTTAGGGACTGAATATTCTTTGTTTTTATCTTCCTGTTTTGAAATATATGTGCTTTTAGTTCTTTTAATTGTAATTTTTAACTCTGTAAAAAAATTTTTAGGCCTTTCTTTCTAGAATTGTTAAATTCAAGAAAATATAATGAATCCATGCTATTTAAGACCAGAAATGTAGCATACTTTCTTTTGCTATTCTTCCCTCATCTTGTTGGCAAATTTAGCAAATAAAAACACAGGGTGCTGTTAAGTTTGAATTTCATGTAAGCAAATACTTTCTTAGTATAAGTTCCATGCAATATTTGGGACATACTTAAAAAAATGATCGCTGTATATCTGAAAAATCAGATATATGATGAAAATTCAGAAAAACCTGATTGAAGGCAGGAAGAGAAGGGGACGACAGAGGATGAGATGATTGGGTGGCATCACCAACTGGATGGATCTGAGTTTGAGCAAGCTCTGGGAGTTGGTGTTGGACAGGGAAGCCTGGCATGCTACAGTCCATGGGGTCAGAGTCAGACACGATGGAGCGACTGAACTGAATTGAGCTGATCTGAAAAATCAGGCCTAATTGGGTGTCCGAGATTCCTTTATCTGATAATCCTACCATCCCATCCAGTCTTTAGCATATACTGTGTTTATACTCAGCATTTCTGTATTAAATACTTTCTTGCACAACTATTTTAACATTTTTTAAGTTTTGTAAATGAATTAACAATTCAAAATTAACTGCATGTTTAACTGATTTAGTGTTTGTTACCCATCCTTTTACATTATGACTTTTCACATTCTTGAGATCTGTTTAAGAACGGTACATATATGTTTTCTGGGGTTTTTTTTGTTGTTGTTGTTTTTGCTTATCTGTTACCTATAGATATAAAGACAATTTAGTTGATAAGAAAAAATAGTGATAACAGATTTTTGAGTCTCATAATTCTGAAGGTGTTATTACACTGTCTTCTGACATTTACTATTGCAGAGTTCTGTATCCATTCTCCATCTTAGGTTTTGTAGATAACCAGAATTTTTCGATACTTCCTAGGGTCTAAACGAATGCAGAAATGTAGAAAACTGGGTAGGGGAATGGGTGGGAGGGTGTTATGGTAACTTTACAGGATAGCACCCTTGCAAGAAAAGGATGGTTCTTGAGTTTTCTGGTTGAGAGAAATAAATTATCTAAGATATCCTATCTAGGATAAAGGGAAATACAGTGTTTTCTGATTTTTTCTCATAAGCAATTGAAAGGTACTGACCCTTTAGTTAATTCTTCCATATTTGAGTTGTCTGCCAATTTGAGTTACAGGTTTTGTGTGTTTTCTTTCTTTTTTTTCTGTAGCTTCTAAGGGACTTTACAGTTGAGTCAAGATTCTTGCTGTTCATTGAGAGCTAACCAATTTCATTTCAAACCAAAATACAAGCAAATGTTTTGAAATCAGTGAAAACACAAAGTTGAACATACAGTATGATTTCATGCACATGAAAATGCACAGAACAAAGAATGTAGAATGAAACAGGATGAGACGTTTTCTTCTTGACTCATTTACATATTTTATAATGACTATGCATATGGGGTTTCCCTGGTGGCTAATATGGTAAAGAATTCGCCTGCAATGCAGGAGACCTGGGTTCAATCCTTGGGTCAGGAAGATCCCCTGGAGAAGGGAATAGCTACCTACTCTAGTATTCTTGACAGGAGAATTCCATACACAGTGGAGCCTGGCAGGCTACAGTCCATGGGGTTGCAAAGAGTCAGACTCAACTGAGCAACTAACACACAACACTACTATACCTAATGTATATGGTAGAAAGAGAAAATACTTTAAAATACTGTCCTAAGCATCTCTTCCTAAAGCAAATGATTCTTAGCAGGAATTAGAAGAAATTTTAAATGTTGCTTGGGATTATTTGGGTTATTTATAGCATTTTTTTCTAGCAGCATTTATTAGGCTTAAAGTGAAGCTTTGATTAAAGCTGTTACAACAAAATGAACGGCATTACAAGGTTTATCTTCTGCAGTTATTGTAAAGATGTGGATTCTGATTGAATCCTGTGTAATACTCATGGCATTTATAAGTTTTCTCTCCTGTGTGGACTCTCTGATGAATTCGAAGAGCTGAGCTGTGGCTGAAACCCTTACCACACTTAGCACATTGATAAGGCTTCTCTCCTGTGTGGATCCTCTGGTGAATATGAAGATTTGAGCTGTGACTAAAGCCCTTTCCACAGTCATCACATTTATAGGGTTTTTCTCCTGTATGGACTCTCTGATGAATGAGAAGATGTGAACGCTGACTGAAACCTTTACCACACTGTTCACATTTATAGGGTTTCTCTCCCGTATGCACTCTTTGATGAGTGTGAAGTTTTGAACTCTTGCTGAAGCCCTTCCCACATTCATGACAAATATAGGGTTTCTCCCCCGTATGGACCCTCTGATGAATGCGAAGATCTGAGCTGTGACTGAAGTCCTTCCCACAGTTGTCACATTTGTATGGCTTCTCTCCTGTATGCACTCTCTGATGGATTTGAAGATTTGAGCGCTGGGTAAAGCCCTTACCACAGTCACCACATTTATAGGACTTTTCTCCTGTGTGGACTAACTGGTGAATTCGAAGATTTGAGCTCTGACTGAAGCCTTTACCACATTCATCACACTTGTATGGTTTCTCTCCGGTGTGGACTCTCTGATGAACATGAAGTACTGAACTCCGACTAAAACTCTTACCACACTGATCACACTTAAAAGGCTTCTCTCCTATGTGAAGTCTCTGGTGAATGTGAAGCAATGAATTTCTACCAAGGTCCTTATCACACTGCAATTTATAGAGTTTCTCTTCCAGGTGGACTCTTTGATGATGGTGAAGCCTGGGGAACTGACTGAAGCTATTACTACACACATTACATATATAAGGTACCTCCCCTGGGTGGGCTCTCTGATGAAAGTGAACACCGAAGCTCTGACTAAGGTTACTGGCAACTTCATCACATCTGTACAGCTGCTTACCTGTGGGGATTCTTGGATGTCTGTATAGGTCTGATCTCTGAGGGAAGCATGTGGGGCTGATGGAGCATGGATAGAACTTTTCTCCAAGTTGATTTCTCTTGAGAATACACTGTGAGTTCCAGTAATAAATTTCTTTACATTTTTTACATCCACAGTATTTCTCTTCCATAGAGCCTTTCAGCAGGTCATTTTGGCATATCTGCCCAATGTACTCTGGAAAGGCTTCCTGTCCTGGGATAGAATGCTGATGTATCAGCTGTTCTTTTTCCATAGAGAGATTTTTCCTGGATATGCCAACATGGTATCTGCATCCTTGAAAACCACACAAATCACTCACATAGATTTTTCTACCATCATCTTCAGAGTGTTTCCTTTCTAAGGACTGACAAGGTATATACTTGGTATATTTTAAGTTCCTGGGACTTTTGCTTTCAAAAGTCAGTTCATAGTTCCCAAACCCTGCTACTTGTGTGGGGAGTGTTGACCATTCTTGATAGTGAGAAAGGTGTTGCTGCTTTAGGTCTTTGGAATCTATACCTTGAACCATTTCCACATAATTTTTATTCTCATATATCTGAGTGCTGGCAATCTTCCAGCCCTGCCAGCAGGAAAGATTTTCATGTTCTAAATATCTGAATCTTTCTTCCTGGGGTTTGCAGCTCTCTTTCCAATTTCCTAAAACATAAGCAGATAATCCAGTGGTAAGCAGATAATCCAGCTCTCTGTTTAAAAAATTTCCAAGTAGCTCAGTCAACAAGCTCCAGAATTATAGGAATATATGTGTGGGCACAAGTGAGAAAGAAGGGTTATGACTTAGGCTGCTCCATATTTGGGTGTGAAATTCATTTGTTTATTCATTCATAGATATATTCATTTCACTCATTCATTCAATAAATATACCAATTACCTTGGTAAATATACTTACTAAGTACTGTTAGAAATAAAAGAGAAAGTGATTGGCTTCATGGAAATCGTCTTAAAGACTGAGATTTAATTAGATTACTCTATTTGGGAAATTATTATAAGAAATAAAATACCTCTTTCTATTTTTTGTTCTAAAATAGTGTAGTAGATTGTGTTTAAAAAAAAAAAAAAAACTCTGCTTATTTACATCTTTGGGTGTTCCTCTTACACACTGACTCTATAATTTGCTTTGGCCACTGGGACAAAAGTGAGACAAACAGAAATCTGAAAAGTACTTGTACGTTGGGGTTGATCTCTTTTGCTGGTTTTGATAATCCTGTGATCACCATCACATAAATGAGCCTGCGCTGGCCTCCTTGAAGAAAGACATATGGTCAACTCATGGCCATTATAACATTGATACTGACCAACTGCCAGACATGTGAGTCAGGCTATCCAGTTTTATCTTTAGACCATCTAGCCCCAATCAAGTCACTCCTGATAGAAGATCCATGTAACCAATTGGAATCATGAAACATAACAAAGTTTTAAGTTACTAAGTTTAGGGTGGTTTGTTATATAGCAAAAGCTAACTTCTACAAATAGAACATGAAATGAGAACAAATTTAGGACTGCACAAAATTATAGGTGGAAATCTGTGCTTTATGTGTAATCCAGAAAATAGTCACAAATAATAATAATCACAAACACCTATTAATTACATAGCCAAAATGTTTTGGAAGATACCTTGTTTTCTTTATCTGTTATTTTTCATGTGATTTAAGACCCATTTTTGAGAATCTCTTTTACCTCAATACAGCAATCAGATAAAGAACCAAAATACTCAACAAAACAGGTCCCAGAAGAAACTAACCTTATTCCCTAAGAGTTGGGATAACTTTACCTACTAACATGACATTTGTGTAATTCTCCCACATGACCTCTCTGTAGAGCTTTTTCTGAGAAGAATCCAAGAATTTCCACTCCTCCCAAGTAAAAATAACAGTCACATCTTCAAATGTTACTGCCATCTGGTCGAAGATTAGCTTTCTAGGAAGAAGCAATCTAAGAAGATGGACAACAAAAAAAGACATTCAGCATGTAACATAAGTGGTAAACCAAAAAGAAATAATTCTAATAATGAAGAAAGACAAGAAAAGTAAGAAGAGACATAATATATGTCAACTGGTTAAATAATGTATACAATCACTGAATACCATCACCATCATAAGAAATATTTATATACCATTTGTCTGCTAACCACTGGGCCAGGTAAGTACTTCACATATATCTCAAGTAATCCTCATAGTGATCCTGTGTTGCAAATACTATTATTATCCCCATTTACACATTACTAAATAATGGTTGAAAAAGATTAATTCCCAAGATCATGAACCTGGAGGTATTGCAGCTAGGATCCAGGTCTACACACTTTGAACAAGAACTGTTTGCCAACTATAACAATATCGCTTCATGTTGCTTGTATTATTGCTTCATGATTGGTCATTTTAGACATTATCTATTTACTTCCTACCTCTACTTTTCATCCTCCTATAGCATTATTGCTAATTTTCTGTTTAGATCAATAAGCAGCACTTGTATAATTTTGAATATGATTATACACTTCTGGGGGGGATTACCTGTTTAATTTTTACTTGATAAATTTACTGTCCTCAAATTCTTGATTTGTTTAAAAGGCTTTA